AGCCCAGCGTGCCACAAGACCAAAGGTGGTGCAGCGAATAGGGCACTGCTTGGGAGTCTATCAGCCCTGGGCAAGTCATTAAACATAGGGGTGGGGGTGGGGGTGGGGGCTTCCTGACTGTAACATGGAGATGTCACGTGCCAAGGGCTCAGGCACGTGCCCGCGCGCACACATACACACACGCATTAGTAAGGACACGACCCCTGGCATTCTAATGCGATTTATACTTTTCCACGCAGGAATTCATTTTCCCCCACACTAACCCCACAGACAGGTAGAGCCTTGACAGGTGGAAGAACTGAAGCCCGAGAGCGACAGCAGGGGACCCTCCCTGTTCCACGGCACGGCCTGGACCCCTCCCCGCGCCTCGGCACCGCTACTGTCCGACCCCCTCCCCAACGCCCGGGCGGCGCAGAGGCTGCCAAGGGTCGCAGGTAGGGGGCGCGGCTCCGGGGACTACATTTCCCAGGAGCAGTTGCCGCGGATCCGCCGTTCCTGGGGTTTCAAGAGCCTCACGTTAAAGGGGGCGGAGGAAGTTGCGCAGTCCGCCGGCTGGAAGACTGCTCTGCGGCCGGTGGGGACCTGAGAGCCGCCTGCCCGGGTGCCCAGGAGGGGTCTGGCTGGAGTGAAGTCCCCCAACCCAGCAGTGTCCTCGAGGCGAGGCCAAGCCAATCTGAATGCCTCCTTTCCTCCTCTTGCCCTCCCCGGCTTCGGCCTCTGCGCCCAAGCTCCCAGGGAACCCCCTTCCTTTCCTTCCAACTCCCCAGAACTGGGGAAGGGGCGGTGAATCTTGCCGCCTGGCGGGAGAAGGAGTGTCCACTAGCTGGAAGCTCCTGCGACCCGAGGCGACCCTTTTCCCGCGTTCTGGCTTCAGTTCCGGGAATTTACAGGTCGCTGGGATGGGCGGGGAGAAGGGACATGAGAGTTACAAAATGAAATGAAGGCCCAGGTGTCAGGGAGCTGAGCCTCACAGTACCCCTCCCCCAAGCCATCCTTCCAAGTCCCGGGCCTCCGCGGAAAAATGGTGATGGGGATAGTGATCACGGGCAGGAGGCGCCAAGGATCCAGAAACCGGTGGGGAGCACTTTGCAAACTGTAAAGCGCAGTGCAAATAAAATTATTCATCGTTGTGTCTTTGGATTCATCCAGTCTTTAAGACACGCACGGACTTGGGGTGGGGGGCGGGGTGACAGCTCTGAAGTCTCAGATCATCTCGGATACGGGGGTGGCTATTTTGGGTGTATATTAACCCAACAAGGTCTCAGTATTTTTTTTTTTTTTCCCGAGACGGAGTCTCACTCTGTCGCCCAAGCTAGAGTGCAATGGTGCGATCTTGACTCACTGCAACCTCCGCCTCCAGGGTTCAAGCGATTCTCCCGCCTCAGCCTCCTGAGTAGCTGGGATTACAGGAGCGTGCCACCCCGCCCGGATAATTGTCGTATTTTTAGTAGAGATGGGGTTTCACCATCTTGGCCAGGCTGGTCTGGAACTTCTGACCTCGTGATCCACCCGCCTCTGCCTCCCAAAGTGTTGGGATTACAGGCGTGAGCCACCGCGCCCGGCCAACCCAACCAGGTCTTAATGGGAACCCGAGTTGTCTTTGAAAATAACCAAAACAAAGCCACCAGAATGTGGTGTTTTCAAATGAGGAAACTTCAGGGAACTGCCACCATCAAAAGAAGAACCTTGACCTTTTGAACTAACCTGGCCCCCCCACTGCTTCCCTTCCCCGCCTGTGCCAAGGAGATAAGCCCGGAGAGAAGGCAACTGACACCGAGTCTTGGGCTCCTCCTCCCCCTTCCTCCCATAATCATTTGGATTAATCCATCCCTTGGTGTGCGGGGGAAACCCATTTATTTGCTCTGGCTTCAGAGACTCCCAGGTACAGTAGGAGCCCTCCCCAACCCACGCAGCTACGATCCCGTCCCCACCATCAAAACCCTCGGACTCCTCGCCTTTACCCCTCCCCAGCAGCCTACTGTGTCTGCAAACAGCTCTTGGACCATACCGGGATGCGTTCATCGTTTTGACCAGCAACAAACTCCCACTCCCAGGGTATTGTTTAAGTGAACAGTGGCCAACCTCTATGCTTAGGGAATAAAAGCGGGGTTGTGGGAGGGGGCGCAGGGAGCAAGCGTCGCAGAATCTCAGCCCAGGGCCGCTGCCAAGCGGACCCGGCACGTGAGTAGGAGTCCGGCCACAGACAGGGGGTCCTAGGGTCTCTGAGGTTCCTTCTGCTGGCCTCTGGGCCCCTAAAGCCCGTCGAGCCTCAGAACTCCCTACAGACAGTGGCGCCCCGTGCCCGCCTCGTCTACACCTGCCAAGCGACACGGGAAAATCTGTGTGCATTTTAACAAAGACATTGCATCTTCCCAGCAAAATGGCGGTGGTCCCGGCCACGGCTCTCTGAACAACTGCACACTTTCCGAGGATAGGTCACAACCCAAGGGACACAACCCCCTCCTCGACCTCTACCCCAGCGCCCCGCTTTCCCAAGTCCCCAAAGCACTCAGGGCCTCTCCGCTTTACAGGGGCCCCCAGGACCGTCCCTGGTTAGAGCCTGTGGGGCAGTTTCTCCATTGTGGACCGCCCCCCGGCGCCCCCACCTTGCCTTCGAGGAGCCTTGGGACGGGGACTGGACCCTCCAGGCTGGACCTCAGGGGTGGGGGGCAGCGAGTTCTGCCTCTGACACCCCAAAACTTCCAGGCTGAGAGAAGCATATAAATGAATTCCCGATTAGGGTACATGGAAGATGTAGGGGTCTTTGAGGAGAGGAGGCCACCCGGGAGCCCTTCCTCATCGCTCAGAGGAGCCGGGCAGCACTGGGGGTTTGGCCTCAGGAAGGAACCTCAAGGCAGAGGTCGGGGGGCGCGCTGGGGGAGAGACGGCAGAGGAGGGGGAAGGGACAAAGTTTGAAAGTGCCCTTCCGACTCTTCCAAGGAAAGTTTCCTTGGGGGCTCCATGGACAGAGAGGGGTAGGGGTGTGGAGGGGCCGGTGGCGGGGTGACCCCCGAGAGGTGACCGGACCCTGGGAGAGCGACCCCTCCCCCCTGTCCCGGCTCGGCCCGGCTGGGAGTCGCCCAGCTCGGGGCCGCGTGTGTTAGTTGGGGCCGCTTTCCGGCAGCTCCGCTGGGCTAGGGGACCCTGCAGCGGGCCGGGAGCGGAACCCCCAGTAGCTCCAGGGGAGAGCTTTGCTACGGGGGGTTTTCCGCACCGGGGCTCCCTAGCCCCGGAGAGCCAGCCCCCCGCAAAGGGGAAATGTGCCGGCCCACCGGCGGTCCTCGGCGCCGTTTGGGGCGCGTGGCGGGCGCGGGGGGTGGCGGCCGGGCCAGGGGGCCGCCCAGCGGGAAAGCCCAGGGAGCCAGGCAGCGGCCCCGGGCGGCGGCGGGGAGCGGGAAGGCCCGGGCCGGGGGGAAAGGTCGGATTTGCTCGGCGGAAGAAACACAGATGGCGGCGGCGCAGCGCCATTCCGGGCCGGGAGCAGGCAGCCAGCAGCCCTGTCCTCACCGCGGTCCGCCCGCCGCCGCTAAATACCCGGATGCGCCGCCCAAGCGCCAGACGCGGAGCTGGGAAAAGGGAGGCAGAGGAGGCGGAGGCAGAGGCACAGGCAGATCCCGGTGCCGAGACCAAGCGACAGACCGGCGGGGCTGGGCCTCGCAGAGCCAGCTCGGCGAGCTCTCCCGACACCCGACCCGGGGAGTAGAAGCAGCGACTCCTCGCTTGCATCCCCTGGACCCGCACTCCGGACTGGCCGGGTATTCAGGGGCTCGAGAGCAGATCCCGAGGCAGGCTTTGCTCAGCCTCCGACGAGGGCTGGCCCTTTGGAAGGCGCCTTCAACAGCCGGACCAGGCAGGCCACCATGACCGAGAATTCCACGTCTGCCCCTGCGGCCAAGCCCAAGCGGGCCAAGGCCTCCAAGAAGTCCACAGACCACCCCAAGTATTCAGACATGATCGTGGCTGCCATCCAGGCCGAGAAGAACCGCGCTGGCTCCTCGCGCCAGTCCATCCAGAAGTATATCAAGAGCCACTACAAGGTGGGTGAGAACGCTGACTCGCAGATCAAGTTGTCCATCAAGCGCCTGGTCACCACCGGTGTCCTCAAGCAGACCAAAGGGGTGGGGGCCTCCGGGTCCTTCCGGCTAGCCAAGAGCGACGAGCCCAAGAAGTCAGTGGCCTTCAAGAAGACCAAGAAGGAAGTCAAGAAGGTAGCCACGCCAAAGAAGGCATCTAAACCCAAGAAGGCTGCCTCCAAAGCCCCAAGCAAGAAACCCAAAGCCACCCCAGTCAAGAAGGCCAAGAAGAAGCTAGCTGCCACGCCCAAGAAAGCCAAAAAACCCAAGACTGTCAAAGCCAAGCCGGTCAAGGCATCCAAACCCAAGAAGGCCAAATCAGTGAAGCCCAAAGCAAAATCCAGTGCCAAGAGGGCCGGCAAAAAGAAGTGACAATGAAGCCTTTTCTTGCGGACACTCCCTCTTGTCTATTTTCTGTAAATAATTTTCTCCTTTTTTCTCTCTTGATGCTCACCACTACTTTTTGCCCCCTTCTATTCTGACTTTATAAGAGACAGGATTTGGATTCTTCAGAAATTACAGAGTAATTCATTTTTCCTTAACCAGTTGTGCAAGGACAGCAACCACCAATCTCTGTAATGATGAGAATGTACTTCTATTTTGTTTTGCTATTAACCTACTTAATGGGGTTAGGGATTTGCTGGGGGGTGGGGGGGCTTGTGTGTTTTGTTTTGTCAGTTTGTTTGCCGTGAAGGTAGATGTGAGTGGGGAAAAGACACAAGGCAGTTTCTGGCTAGATGAGAGGGAGCCCAGGAATTGTGAGGTTAGCAGGAGTATCTTTAGAGTGAGTGAACTCTCTTTGAGTTGGGCACCGGTTGTGAGAGTTTCAGAACCTTTGGCCCGGAGGAGAGAGGCGGTAGGCAGCAGCCTGCCGGCAAAGGATGAAGGTGGAAAAAAACCGCCCCCCGCCCCCCGCTGACAATCCAGTGGTGAGCAGTAGGGGATCCAAACCCAGTTTCCTTCTGGTTTCTGTCAGTTTGCCCTTTCGGCCTCCCTGTTGTCTTAGGGAAGGGGAGTGGGGTCCAAGTGACAGCTGGATGGGAGAAGCCATAGCTTCTCCCAGTCAGCTAGGATGTAGCTAGCCATTGGGGGATCTTCGTGGCTTCAGCAAATTCTCTTGTTAAACCGGAGTGAAAACTTTAGGGGGGACTCCGTCAGCCAAGTGCCTCAGTGTGCCCTGTTGAAACTTGGATTTTTCCACACAATCGATGGATTGTGTCCTAGGAAGACGTCTTTTTCTTTTCCTCTGGGTTTTTGCTCCTCCTGTACAAGAGGTGGCTTTGCTTGGTTTGGTGGGGCTGCGGCCACTTAAAACCTCCCGACCTCTTTTTATTTGAGTCTTTTATTATAAGTAGTTGTAGCTGGGGGAGGGGTAGTGGGCGGGCAGTGGACAGTAACGCATACTGCAGTCGATTTGGGATTTGCTAAGTAGTTTTACAGAGCTAGATCTGTGTGCATGTGTGTGTATGTGTATATATACATATCTAGGACTAGTACTTAGTTTCACACCGGGAGCTGGGAGAAAAAAAACCTGTACAGTTGTCTCTTATTTTTAATAAAATAGAAAAGTCGCGCACTTGCGCGTCCCTCCTCCCCCTTTTTTAAACAAGTGTTACTTGTGCCGGGAAAATTTTGCTGTCTTTGTAATTTTAAAACTTTAAAATAAATTGGAAAAGGGAGAAACTGAGCGGTGTATTTCTTCCCCACTTTGAAGACGGGGTGAATGCGGACCAGTTGGGCTGGCGGACAGTGGGAACATCTGGGCGTTTGCACCTGAGAGTGGGGGGAGGGTAACAGGAGCTGGACGGAAGCCGGGAAACCTTAGTCCCGGAGGCTGCGGAACGTGCCTTAGCCAGTTTCTAGGCTTCTGCCTTTGGGGTCCAGAGGGCACCCCATTTCCGCCCGAGAGGTGGGTACGTGGGATTGCGGTGGGAAGCCTGGTGGGCTGGGCCCTGACGCGACTTCCTCCGCCCCCTTCCCTCCGTTCTGCCACCCGGACCTCTGCAGTCTCAACTTACAAGTCAAGCTGCTAGGTCCCGGGCGGATCCCGCCAGGCCCCGCCCATCCACCTTAGACCCGCCTCCCCGCCGCTATAAGTAAGCCCCTGTCGCTCCGATTGGCTGCTGGGGCCCGGCCCCCGGCCACGTGACCGGGCTGCGTCCGCAGCGCGCAAGGCTCCCTCGCTGGCGGGCGCGCTGGGGCGAGGTAGGAGCGATGTGGGCTGGAAGCGTCTGGCGCGCCTCGCTCTCCCGAGTGCCCTGCGGACGCCGCGCGCAGTCGGCGCTGGCTCAGCTGCGCGGCATTCTGGAGGGGGAGCTGGAAGGGATCCGGGAAGCTGGCACATGGAAGAGTGAGAGGGTCATCACATCCCGTCAGGGGCCACACATCGACGTGGACGGCGTCTCCGGAGGTAACTCCCCTTCCCGGGAGTCGTTCCAAAACCTTTCCCGAGCTTGCCCTGGAATGGAGGTCCTGGAGGCGGGGATGGGCGGCTCCTACACTCTTCGCTACTGCTCTTCCCAACTCTCAGGCCGACTTTTTTTTTTTTTTTTGAGACGGTTACCCAGGCTGGAGTGCAATGGCGCGATCTCGGCTCACCGCAACCTCCGCCTCCTGGGTTCAGGCAATTCTCCTGCCTCAACCTCCTGAGTAGCTGGGATTACAGGCACGCGCCACCATGCCCAGCTAATGTTTTTGTATTTTTAGTAGAGACGGGGTTTCACCATATTGACCAGGATGGTCTCGATCTCTTGACCTCGTGATCCACCCGCCTCGGCCTCCCAAAGTGCTGGGATTACAGGCTTGAGCCACCGCGCCCGGCCCAGGCCGACTTTATGGCTTTCTAATATTGATTAGCGTGGTTAAACCCGTTTTGACGGAGGGAGGTGATTTGCCCTTGAGCACCTTTTTGGCTCACAAAGCAGAGCTGGGACCAGGCCTGCGAGAATGTGAGAAAAGGAGAGAGAGACCCAGCTGGCTCCCACCGTGACGCTGTAAGGAAGGGTGGTGGGAAGGCGGCAGCAAGGAAACCTGTACTTCTTGAGCGGCTGCTTTGTGAAGGCCTCTACCAATTGTTGCTGCTCGGGAACTGCTAAATTCTAAACGCAGGAATGACTAATTCCATTTTACAAACGAAGAGGCTGAAGTCCAAAGATGCGAAGTGGCTTGCCCAAAAGCCCCCAGCTAGTTGCAGGCAGCGCTGGAATATTGAAGCTGGAACATTGCCTAACTGGCCAGAGAGGACAGCTTCCTGCCCAATCTCATAGCAAGCAATGGGTCCCAGGGCTGCTGCAAAAACCATATGATGAGTTGGCCCTGCCAGGTTTTCCTCATTTCTTTCTTTCTTTTTTTTTTTTTTTTTTTTCTGAGACGGAGTATCGTCTTGCTCTGTCGCCAAGGCTGGAGTGCAGTGGCGAGATCTCGGTTCACTGCAACCTTTGCCTCCTAGATTCAAGCGATTTTCATGCCCCAGCCTCACAAGTAGCTGCTACTACAGGCACCTGCCAGCACACCCGGCTAATTTTTGTATTTTTAGTAGAGACTGGGTTTCGCCACGTTGGCCAGGCTGGTCTCGAACTCCTGACCTCAAGTGATCCTCCCGCCTTGAGCCTCCCAAAGTGCTGGGATTACAGGTGTGAGCCATTGCTCCCCACCCTCCCTCATTTCATTCTAACCAGTGGTTACTGCTTGACTTATTTGTCAGGCCTCAGGTGAGGGGATCATCAACAGGGCCCCAGAGCTGCCTCCTGCCCAGGAAATCTGCATGGAACCCTTGGTGCTGTTGTACTCGTTTGTAGAATAGAGGTCACAGGTAATCCTTCTTCTCCCTCAGAGGAAGCTTAGAGCCGGTGAAAAGATGGGAAATTAGGAGACCCAAGATCTCATCTTGTCTTTAACTTTCCCAGACTGTGTGAACTTTCCCCTGCTCTGGATTGTTTACTCCTGAGGTCAGCTGTTCTCACCCTGGGCTTTAGAATTTGGGGACTGGCATCTCAGGCACCCACCTTTGAGGATGTGATTCTGTACCAGGCAGCAAAATAAACTGTGGAGTTCCAGGACTGCAGCAGGCACCTGACCCAGCCCTCTTCTTTAACCCACAAGGAAACCAAGGCCCAGATCTTCAGTCACAGGAGAAGCCTGTGAGAAAGGGCTGGGTTCCTCCTTGGGTTAAATGTGATTCAAAGCCAGAGTTTAGGCTGAGCGTGGTGGTGCATGCCTGTAATCCCAGCTACTGAGGAGGATGAGGCAGGAGAATCTCTTGAACCCAGGAGGCAGTGGTTGCAGTGAGCCGAGATCGCACCACTGCACTCCAGCCTGGGTAACAAAGCGAAACTCCATCTCAAAAAAATAAAAAATATATTTAGTTGGGCATGGTGGCATGCACCTGTAGTCCCAGCTACTCAGGAGGTTGAGTGGGAGGATTGCTTGAGTCTGGGAGGCTGAGGCTGCAGTGAGTCATCTCTGTACCCCTGTACTCCAACCTGGGCAATGGAGCAAGACCCTGTCTCAAAAATATATATATATAGCATGAGTTTAAACTTCTCGCCGGGCATGGTGGCTCACGCCTGTAATCCCAGCACTCTGGGAGGCTGAGGTGGGCAGATCATGAGGTCAAGAGATCGAGACCATCCTGGCCAACATGGTGAAACCCCATCTCTACTAAAATGCAAAAATTAGCTGGGCATGGTGGTGTGCACCTGTAGTCCCAGCTACTCGGGAGACTGAGGCAGGAGAATTGCTTGAACCCAGGAGGCGGAGGCTGCAGTGAGCCGAGATCGCGCCACTGCACTCCAACCTGGCGTTTGTCTCAAAAAAAAAAAAAAAGTTTAAACTTCTCGCTCTTCAAGGTGTAGCACTGACCCTCCCTCTGTAGTGTTGAATTCAGTGCCTCCTTCACGGTGAATCTGGGTCTGTTTCCTTTGTGGACCATTTCCCCAGGCCCTGGCATTGTCATCTTTCCATGTCCTTCCTTGCCCCACCTGAACTGCCATATCCATCTCCTCTCCTTCACCTCAGGAATCCTTAACTTCTGTGCCAACAACTATCTGGGCCTGAGCAGCCACCCCGAGGTGATCCAGGCAGGTCTGCAGGCTCTGGAGGAGTTTGGAGCTGGCCTTAGCTCTGTCCGCTTCATCTGTGGAACCCAGGTACACAGTGAGTGGTGGGGGGGGTTGCAGGGACTGACCCCAGCTGCCTGCTTCCCACTGTCAGCAGGGCTGGTTTAGCCAGCTCAGCTCATCCACGGCCCTGGGCCCACTGTTGGCCCCAGAGCTGTGCGCTAAAAAGGCTGAGTACAGGCCTCTGTTTTGCTGAAAAGCCTTGACCAAGAAACTTTATCTGTTCTTTTTTCTTTTTGAGGCACTGTCTCGCTGTGTTACCCAGGCTGGAATGCAATGGCATGATCTTGGCTAACTGCAACCTCTGCCTCCCAGCCTCAAGTGATTCTCGTGCCTCAGCCTCCCAAGTAGCTGCTATTACAAGCACCTGCCATCACGCCCAGCTGATTTTTGTATTTTTAGTAGAGACAGAGTTTCACCATATTGATCAGGCTGGTCTTGAACTTCTGGCCTCAAGTGATCTGCTCCACCTCGGTCTCCCAAATTGGAAACTGCCTTTGTGAGCATTCATTTTCCCACCTGCAGAACAGAGTTCCTCACAGCTGACGTTCCATAGGAAAGAGGAGTAGGAGGCCGGAACTGGGACTGAGGGCTCTGGGGCTGTTCTGACGGAGCCCCGCTGCCAGTGCTGCCCTTGAGTGGCTCTGTTCCTGTGGGCAAGTATCTTACCTCTCTCTGCCTCAGTTCCTTCATTGGGAAAATGAAGATAATAGCACTTAATAGGATCATTACAAATAAAGATCTAATACATGTAATGCTTAGAACAGGCCAGGTGTGGTGGCTCACACCTGTAATCCCAGCACTTTAGGGTGCCGAGGCGGGTGGATCACCTTAGGTCAGGAGTCAGAGACCAGCCTGGCCAACATGGCAAAACCCCATCTCTACAAAAATACAAAAATTAGCTGGCATGATGGGCGTGGTGGTGTGTGCCTGTAATCCCAGCTACTTGGGAGGCTGAGGCAACAGACACTGTCTCAAAAAAAAAAAAAAAAAAAAATGCTTAGAACAGCCTGACACATAGTAGTCCTCAATGACTGTTGACTATTATTTATTTTGCAAATGTTACAAAATTTGTATAAGTATGAAACGGAAATAATATTTATTATGGCTGGGCACAGTGGCTCGTGCCTATAATCCCAGCACTTTGGTAGGCTGAGGTGGGTAGATCACAAGGAGTTAGAGACCAGCCTGGCCGACATGGTGAAACCCCATCTCTACTTAAAAAAAAAAAAAAAAAATTAACCGGGCATGGTTGTGTGTGCCTGTAATCCCAGCTATCGGGAGGCTGAGGCAGGAGAATTGGTTGAACCCAGGATGCAGAGGTTGCAGTGAGCCAAGATCATGCCACTGCAGCCTGGGTGACAGAGCAAGACTCCTTCTCAAAAAAAAAAAAAAAGGCCAGGCTGGTGGCTCACGCCTGTAATCTTAGCACTTTGGAGGCTGAGGTGGCCAGGTCACCTGGGGTCAAGAGTTCAAGACCAGCCTGGCCAGCATGGTGAAACCCTGTCTCTACTAAGAAGACAAAACTTAGCCAGGCGTGGTGATACACACCTGTGGTCCCAGCTACTCGGGAGGCTGAGGCAGGAGAATTGCTTGAACCTGGGGAGGTGAAGGTTGCAGTGAGCCAAGATTGCACCACTGCACTCCAGCCTGGGTGACAAAGTGAAACTCTGTCTCAAAAAAAAAAGAACAAGTTACAAGTGTTAACTTATTAATCCTAAGTGATAAGTGCTATTCTATTTCTGCTATTGAGATGAGGACACTGAAGTTCAGAGAGGTTAAGTAACTTGCCCAGAGGCACACAGCCTGTTGTGGTGGGATTTGAACCCTGGCTCAAGAGTCTATGCTGGCTGGGCATAGTGGCTCGCACCTGTAATCCCAATAGTTTTGGAGGCCAAAGCAGAAGGATCACTTGATGCCTGGAGTTTGAGACCAGCCTGGGCAACATAGCAAGGCCCGCTCTCTACACAAAACTTTTTTTAATTAGCTGGGTGTGGTGGTACACACCTGTAGTCCCAGCTACTAGGGAGAAGAGGCTGAGATGGGAGGATCACTTGAGCCCAGGAGTTCAAGACTACAGTAAGCTATGATCTCACCACTGCACTCCAGCCTGGGTGACAGAGAATCCCTTTCTCATTTACCAAAAAAAGATAGGGAGTCTGTGCTCTTTACTTGGGATTATCATTAACTGCCCTCTCAGAAAGGCGAGAGTGAGGCCGGGCACGGTGGCTCACGCCTGTAATCCCAGCACTTTGAGAGGCCGAGGCAGGTGGATCACAAGGTCAGGAGATCAAGACCATCCTGGCCAACATGGTGAAACCCTGTCTCTACTAAAATACCAAAAATTAGCTAGGCATGGTGGCACGCAGAGGCTGAGGCAGGGGAATTGCTTGAACCTGGGAGGCTGAGGTTGCAGTGAGCTGAGATCTCGCCACTGCACTCCAGCCTGGCAACAGAGTAAAAACTCCATCTAAAAAAAAAAAGAGTGAAATGAATGTCAGAAGCAGAACTCCTGACTCCCATCCAGTCACTTCCCAACAAAGCCCTCACTCAGACCCAACAGCCTTTTTTTTCCTTTTTTTTTTTCTTTTTTTTTTTTTGAGATGGAGTCTCATTCTGTCTCTCAGGCTGGAGTGCATTGGCATGATCTCAGCTCACCGCAACCTGCACCTCCAGGGTTCAGGTGATTCTCCTGTCTCACCATTCCGAGCAGCTGGGATTACAGGCATACACAGCCATGCCTGGCTAATTTTTTGTATTTTTAGTAGAGACAGGATTTCACTGTGCTACCCAGGCTGGTCTTGAACTCCTGAGCTCAGGCAATCCACCCGCCTCAGCCTCTCAAAGTGCTAGGATTGCAGGTGTGAGCCACCATGCCCAGCCTCCAATAGCTTTCAAATCTATGAAATAGAGGCCCAGATTGAACCCACAATTACTTCTGTGATCTTTTTCTTTACCATTAGGCAACCAAAGAGGACACTCATTATGATGTTAGGAAGATGTATCTTCCTCCTCAACAAGTACCCTTAATTCTGTCATTAGATTGCCATTGTATTTTTACTTTTTATTTTTTTGGACAGAGCTTCACTCTTGTTGCCCAGGCTGGAGTGCAGTGGTGCAATCTCGGCTCACCGCAACCTCCACCTCACAGGTTCAAGCAATTCTCCTGCCTCAGCCTCCCGAGTAGCTGGGATTACAGGCATGCACCACCACGCCCGGCTAAATTTTTTGTATTTTTAGTAGAGAGGGGCTTTCTCCATGTTGGTCAGGCTGGTCTCAAACTCCTGACCTCAGGTGATCCGCCTGCCTCAGCCTCCCAAAGTGCTGGGATTACAGGCATGAGCCACTGCGCCCAGCCTAGACTGCCACTGTGAAACCAAAGTCTGCCCAGGAAGGGAACCTAACAGGTCCCCAATTCCTCAATGGGAACCGTCTGCCAGATTCCTGGCAGCTCTGGGATAGCCCATGCGTGGCAGAAAGTAAGGAGGCTGAGGCTGCTGGCTTTCTGGGTTGGGTCTCTTTGTGGTCCTCCAAGCCTCTGTCCCTTCGGACTTGTCACACATGGCCCCACAGGCATCAGCACCTGTCTCATTTTCTTCAGAGCATCCACAAGAATCTAGAAGCAAAAATAGCCCGTTTCCACCAGCGGGAGGATGCCATCCTCTATCCCAGCTGTTTTGATGCCAACGCCGGCCTCTTTGAGGTGAGCTGTGCTGTGGGTGAGAGCTGGTGGGGCCTGCTGGGCTGAGGAAGGCTTGGGGGTGGGTGGTTGGGAGAACCTAGCAGGATTCCAGTGCCATGCCTAGAGACTCCAGTGCCCCATTCTTCTGGAGGTCAAGGTTGGGCCAGGTAGGTGCTCCAGGAAGAATCCTGGGGCTTGCAAGGACCCCAAGTTCCAGAACCTTTGGGGAATAAGCTACATCAGCTGGAAGGCTGGGGGAGGCGGGGGCCTGGTACTCACCAAATATATTCTCACCTGCTTTCCCTAGAGCAGGGCCCTGGGGCACAGGGGCCCCAGATGGAAGCACAGGACGCCTTGCCCCTCTACCCAGAGGAACGTCCTGGCTGGCAGTACAGTTTTTTGATTTGAGGGAGTCCTGGTCGAGGGAGAAGCCCAGGGTGGTTGAGTGATGGCTCTGTACTTGCTGCCTCCCTGCAGGCCCTGCTGACCCCTGAGGACGCGGTCCTGTCGGATGAGCTGAACCATGCCTCCATCATCGACGGCATCCGCCTGTGCAAGGCCCACAAGTACCGCTATGGCCACCTGGACATGGCTGACCTCGAAGCCAAGCTGCAGGAGGCCCAGGTGGGGCGGCGCCTGTGCCCACCCTCAGCCTCCACCTGGGGAAGGAAGTGAGGCATGGAGAGGCCGGCTCCTCACTCAGACAGACAGCCTGAATGAAACAGCCAAGATTTGACCAAGATTTGGAGGCTGGAGTGCAGTGGTGTGATCTTGGCTCACTGCAACCTCCACCTCCTGAGTTTAAGCAATTGTCCACCTCAGCCTCCCAAGTATAGCTGGGATTACAGGCCAGTGCCACCAAGCCCGGCTAATTTTTTTTTATGTTTAGTAGAGATGGGGCTTCACCATCTTGGCCAGGCTGGTCTTGAACTCCTGACCTCAGGTGATCCACCCGCCTCAGCCTCCCCAAGTGCTGGGATTACGGGTGTGAGCCACCGCACCCAGCCTGTCTTGAGTTTTAGCAAGCACCTTTTGTGTGGCAGGCCCTTGCTAGGCATAAGGATAGGAGGGACATGTTGGTAGGACCTGGTCCCAGCCCAGCCTGACCTGTGGGACCTTACACAGGAGAGTGAAACCTGAGCCCATTCTTACTGCCCAGGGCTCAGCATGGAGATGGAGGAGGCTGAGAGGCACAGATGAGAAAGAGAATGTTCCAGCGCCCAAGATGGTGGTACCTATGTGCCCACCTCTGCCAGGCATGGGGCAGGAGGAGCTCTCCCAGCTCCAAGCAGCAAAAGAAATGGGCAGTTTGGCCCAACTTGACACCACCCCCACCTGCTCATGTCTTTCCTGCAGAAGCATCGGCTGCGCCTGGTGGCCACCGATGGAGCCTTTTCCATGGATGGCGACATCGCACCCCTGCAGGAGATCTGCCGCCTCGCCTCTAGATATGGCGCCCTGGTCTTTGTGGATGAATGCCATGCCACTGGCTTCCTGGGGCCCACAGGACGGTGGGACCATGTGGCACCTGAGGCCGGGGGTGGGGCTTCTGAGGGTGGCTGGGAAATGAGGAGGCCAGTCCCCAGCCTGAGCCATAATCCCTGGGCTCTCTGGAGGCCAGTGACAGCAGTGGCAGCTTCTCTTGCAGGGGCACAGATGAGCTGCTGGGTGTGATGGACCAGGTCACCATCATCAACTCCACCCTGGGGAAGGCCCTGGGTGGAGCATCAGGTACCTGCAGGGTTGTGTCCCTGGGTTCCCCTTGTCCTTTTCAAGGGTCCTGGAGGGAAGTGGGGAGGGCAGCATGGACTGTATTTTCAGGAGAAGGCTGGGGTAGGCTCTGGTTCTCGACCAACGCCCCCTACTTCTTCCCTTCCTCTCAGGGGGCTACACGACAGGGCCTGGGTTTCTGGTGTCCCTGCTGCGGCAGCGTGCCCGGCCCTACCTCTTCTCCAACAGCCTGCCACCTGCTGCTGTTGGCTGCGCCTCCAAGGCCCTAGATCTGCTCATGGAGAGCAACACCATCATCCAGTCTATGGCTGCCAAGACCCAGCGGTGCGGCTCCCAGCAGGGACAGGGTGGGCTGAGGGACAGGGGGACATGGCGAGAGCCTGCCTCATGCGTCTGCCCAGGACCGTAGACAGCTCTGTGCCCACCAGGTCTGCTTCTGTCGGCTCCCCTCCCTCCTCTCTCTCTGCCTCTCTCCTCCAGCTTCTTTGTCTCTCTCTTGTCCATCCTGTCTTTCCACCTCCCTTTTTTTTTTGGAGGCAGAGTCTCGCTCTATTGAAAGGCTGCAGTTGGGGCCGGGCGCGGTGGCTCAAGCCTGTAATCCCAGCACTTTGGGAGGCCGAGGCGGGTGGATCACGAGGTCAAGAGATCGAGACCATCCTGGTCAACATGGTGAAACCCCGTCTCTACTAAAAATACAAAACATTAGCTGGGCATGGTGGTGCGTGCCTGTAATCCCAGCTACTCAGGAGGCTGAGGCAGGAGAATTGCCTGAACCCAGGAGGCGGAGGTTGCGGTGAGCCGAGATCGCGCCATTGCACTCCAGCCTGGGTAACATGAAAGAAAAACCCCCTCCAAAAAAAAAAAAAAAAAAAAAAAAAAAAAAAAGAAAGGCTGCAGTGCAGTGGCGCGATCTCGCCTCACTGCAACCTCCGCCTCCCAGATTCAAGCGATTCTCCTGCCTCAGCCTCCCGAGTAGTTGGGACTATAGGCATATGCCACCATGCCCGGCTAATTTTTTTTTTTTTTTGAGACGGTGTTTTGCTCTTGTTGCCCAGGCTGGAGTGCAGTGGTGGGATCTTGGCACACCACAACCTCCACCTCCCAGGTTCAAGCAATTCTTCCTCAGCCTCCCAAGTAGCTGGGATTACAGGCATGCACCACCATACCTAGCTAATTTTATATTTTTAGTAGAGGGGGGGTTTCTCCACGTTGGTCAGGCTGGTCTCGAACTCCCAACCTCAGGTGATCCACCTGCCTTGGCCTCCCAAAGTGCTGGGATTACAGGCATGAGCCACCGCTCCCAGCCTAATTTTTTGTATTTTAGTAGAGACAGGGTTTCACCATGTTGGCCAGGATGGTCTCGAGCTCTTGAACTCGTGATCTACCTGCCTCAGCCTCCCAAAGTGCTGGGATTACAGGCGTGAGCCACTGTGCCCAGCCTCCACCCCCTTTTTGTTCCACTTGCCCCGGCCTGGCTCCCATCTGCCTCTTAAGGCTTGTAATTGTTTGTTAATCCTTCTTGCAGACTTGGACACAGACCTTGGGCCTGGTTCCCAAGCGGAGCGGGTGTGAATGCTCCATGGCCCCTTAGCTACCTGTGACACCCACTTGTGCCCACAGGTTCCGTAGTAAGATGGAAGCTGCTGGCTTCACTATCTCAGGGGCCAGTCACCCCATCTGCCCTGTGATGCTGGGTGATGCCAGGCTGGCCTCTCGCATGGCGGATGACATGCTGAAGAAAGGTAAGGGTGCTGGGACAAGAGAACTGGTGGTGGGTTCTGAGAGAAGAGAAAGGGAAACCCCTAGACTATGAACCCCGCGCCCCCACACCCTCCGATGCTGCCTCTTAGTCCAGCTGTCTGTCCAAGCTTGAAAATTCCAGGCGATGAGGCAGTCCTGAATCTGAGGCCTGGGGCGCTTCCCTTGTTCTGTGTTCTGCCCCCAAAGCCTGTCAGGTTCTGGCACACCGTTGCTTTCTACCCTCCCAGGTATCTTTGTCATCGGGTTCAGCTACCCCGTGGTCCCCAAGGGCAAGGCCCGGATCCGGGTACAGATATCAGCAGTGCACAGCGAGGAAGACATTGACCGCTGTGTGGAGGCCTTCGTGGAAGTGGGGCGGCTGCACGGGGCCCTGCCCTGAGCTCTGAGTTAGGGATGAGCAGAGCCAAGCTCCACCTACTGCCACAGGGTCAAAGCAGGTTTTCCATCAGCCCAGACCAGAGGCTCTGAGCCCTGAACCAGTGTCCGAGCTGGGCTGGGGTGTGGCCTGTGCTGGGGCTGTGAGAATGTGAATCAACAGAGTGGAAATGGGCTGTGACATTCTGGTCTGCTTTATTGTCTCTAGGCAGGCCTAGTCCTGCCACCGGGTGAAGAATCAGGCAGGAGCCAGAGTCTGAGGGCAGGCTCCTGAGGACTGCAGATCCTCTGACCTCTTTCCCCAGATTATGATGAGACCTGGGCCTGTTGGGAGATAGGAACCGGCCACCATTTGTCTCCAGTAGCGTCTATGCTGCTGTGGAGGGCCGCTGAGAACTAGCCCCACAGCCTTTACCCTGCCACCGCCCCCCACTCTGCAACCCGAGTCTTGCTGCTGCTTCCTCCGCATTAGAAGATGTCCTATCGCTGCCCAGATAGAACGAGGCTGGGTGTCCAAACCCACATTTGGAAGGAGAGGCAGAGGAGTCAGGCCCAAAGAAAAGAACGAGGATCAGGCCGTGTGTGGTGGCTCACGCCTATAATTCCAGCACTTTGGGAGGCTGAGGCAGGTGGATCACAAGGTCGGGAGTTCAAGACCAGCCTGGCCAACATGGTGAAATCCCGTCTCTACTAAAAATACAAAAAAATTAGCTGGGCATGGTGGCAGGTGCCTGTAATCCCAGCTACTTAGGAGGCCGAGGCAGGAGAATTGCTTGAACCCCGGAGGCGGAGGTTGCAGTGAGGTAAGATCACACCGCTGCATTCCAGCCTGGGTGACAGAGCAAGGCTCTGTCTCAAAAAAAAAAAAAAAAAAAAAAAAAAATCACCGTGGGGAAGCTCCGGACAGACTGGAACCCTGTATTCAAGCCCGCTCTCGCCCTGCCTTTCTCAGGCCTTGGGCAAGCCTGAGTCCCTGTGTGGGCCTCAATCCTGCCACGCCTTGAGATCTGGGGCCCTTCTCGCTCATTCCAAGGCCTACGATGATCAGCCGCTAGGGGGTGCTACGAGCACGGGCCTTGGCCGCCAGCCCGCCCCGCGCCTCCAGACCGGGGGCCTGGGGCCGCAGCTGTTCCGGCTGCCGGGCAGTCAAGGCCAGGAGGGGTGATTTGCTGCTGCCAAGGCCCCATCCTCCCTGGTGCCCTACAACGGCTCGCCGCTCTCCCGTAGGAGGAGCCGACCCCCTGCCCACAGGCGCTGCGGGAGGAGGGCAGTCTCTCCTTGGCAGCCTTGTGGACACCTGTGGGGTGGGGAGGAGTGTCTGAGTCACCCGCAACTCCAGCCTCAGCGTGGTGTGGCCTTGGGAAGCTTGTAGTTTGCTTGGGGGAGAGGATGAAAAGGCCCTTTATCATTCACGACAGGAATCTAAATCTACTGCACCTCCAGCCAGCCCTGGATAAACAACATGAGTTGTTTCAAACCGAGCGGGATGTGAAAGCTGGGATTCAGGGAACCCTAGCCTGCGATCCGGAGGACCTTGCTGCTGGGGTCCAGGGGTGGGGGGCCGGTGTGAGGGTGGAAGGCAGCCTGGCTGGGGTAGCTGTGGCTACATTCGCGGCAGGATCATTTGCAGTCCGCCAACACCGGGTAGGGCACGTGGCGCCAGGAGCTCTGCTGCAGGGGATGTGCGCAGCCTGGCGGCAGCCGGGCCCTCAACCAGTAATGCCAAGCCAGCAGCTTGATGAGCTTGGTCTGCGCAAGCCGGCGGGTCATGCCGAGCGCCGCGGGCTGACGTGTGGCGCATTCGGCGGGGCCAGAACAGAGGGCCCAGGCCTACCCAGACCGACGTGAGGCGGCACGAGGCGAAGTCCAGACAGCTGCGCAGAACGTGCGTCGTCCCCTGCGGCTGCCGGGAGCCGCCGCTGGCGTTGCGCTGCCGGGCTGGCAGGGGTGGCAGCGGCAGCGCGGCGACCCCCGGGGCAGCTGGCCGCGGTAGCGCTCCACGCCGTCGGCCAGCCCGCGGCCCGGCGTGTCCTGCTGCACCAGCCCGGGTCCGTCGCCGCGCTTCCTCCGCAGTTATCCAGGAGAGGTCCCTAGGAGGAGCAGCAGCTCTGGGTGCACGTGTTTCGGCCTGGCCTCCCACCGGTGGTCGCCGGCCGCCCACGACAAAGCTGGGGGACTGCGCGGGGCAGGATGGCCGGCCGTGGATCGGCTGCAAGTCTGCGTCCTGCAGAATTACAGGCTCTGGGAACCACTCCAAGGGCGCGATGTCCTTGCTCTCTGCGTCGCGCACGAGGTTCAGGGCCGCAGCTAACCAGAAGCAGCAGGAGTGGATGGAGGAGATCGCACCGGGCACAGCCAAGGTCTAGGGCCATGATGGCCTGTCTACCCCACGACCACGCTCTTTATGGTTGCTTGGTCCTTTCTCCTTCCCTCCACCTCCGCTCTCCTATCAGCTTAGCCTTGCTGCTGCTGGGAGCTCTTCGCCCTAGGCGAAGAAGGACCTTGGGGAGATCCCAAGGGCCAGGAGGACAAACTATCATAAATCTTACGTGCTTTTCAGCCCGTTCCAGGGTTCAGGCATGCACCATTCATCCAGGCTTCTGGGAGTCTAAGGGTGCGTTTCTTTCAGGCAGTGATTGCAGTTCTGTCAAAAGTTCTAAAATCCCACCAAGCTGAGTGTCCTTATTCAGGGATCATAAGAGTCTACAGCCCCATGCAGTGGCTCACGCCTTTAATCCCAGCACTTCAGGAGGCTGAGGCAGGTGGATCACCTAAGGTCAGGAGTTCAAGACCAGTCTGGCCAACATGGTGAAACCCCATCTCAACTAAAACAAAAAATTAGCTGTGTGTGGTGGTAGGCACTTCTGATCCTAGCTACTCCCAGCTACTTGGGAGGCTGAGGCAGGAGAATCACTTGAACCTGGGAGGCAGAGGTTGCAGTGAGCCAAGATAGAGCCACTGCACTCTAGCCTGGGCAAGAAGGCCAGACTCCATGTCAAAAAAAGGCTACAATTCAGTTGTGCAATTCAATTCTGAATTATATTCAATCAAAAGCCAAAAGACTTTGGGGGCAGAACACAGGGCAATTCATTTCTGAGGTCAGGAGTTCAAGACCAGCCTGGCCCACATAGTGAAACCCCCATCTATAAAAATTAGCCATGTATGGTGGTGCACTCCTGTAATCCCAGCTACTTGGGGGAGCTGAGGCAATTCAATTCTTAATTAATTCAATCCTGAAGGTTCTGAATTCAGGTTGTGAGTCTAGATCAGATTCCTAATAGTTTCCGTTCCGTGAGTCTCTGCTTCCAAAAATCGAGGATTTTCTGCATCTGAAGTGGGTGACATCGGGCTTTAGAGAGGCACCTCTGAGCCCTTGTGAAAAACATGGGACCTGCAAGGAGCTTTTTAAAAAAATTTTTTTTTCAGACAGGGTATTGCTCTATCCCCTAGGCTGTGGCTGCAGTGCAGGGGTGCAATCTCGGCTCACTGCAACTTCCGCCTCGCGGGTTCAAGCCATCCTCCTGGCTCAGGCTCCTGAGTCGCTGGGATTACAGGCATCTACCACCATACCTGGCTAGTTTTTAGTACAAATCGGATTCCACTATGTGGGCCAGGCTGGTCTTGAACTCCTGACCTCAAGTGATCTGCCCGCCTCAGCCTCCCAAAGTGCGGGGATTATAGGCGTGAGCGACCGCGCCCAGCCTGGAGCAGCTAGTTCTGAGCATCTATCCTAGCTCCTCCAGCCTGGAATGTGAGTCCTGGCTCCATCAGTGCCCCCTCACACTGTCTTCTCTCCCCTTACTTCCCACCCCCAGCTTCTAAACACACTACTCAGTCCCTCCACCTCTCCCCTCCCTTCCTTAACCAGACTGCCTGTTGCCCTCAATACACCTGTCCAGTTTACCAGCAGCCTTCTCATTGCTGAATCCAGTGTACCTTGCTCCCCAGGTGCTAGCCTCCCTAACCCTCTGGAGGCATTTGGCCACGTCGCCCCTCCTTCACTCAGTTCAGGCCAGAACTCCATGACAGAATCACACAGTCATTCACCAAGACTTAATCGCTTCTTTGACTCTTGCCGAGATGAGAGGCTCCTAACAGGTCACTCATCAAGTCCCTCCCTCTCTGTCCATCCTTTTCACCCCAGACCATAATAGACGTTTTTTGTTTGTTGTTTTTTTTGAGACAGAGTCTGGCTCTGTTGCCCAAGCTGGAGTGCAGGCGATGCCTACTCACTGCAATCTCTGCCTCCCGGGTTCAAGGGATGCTCATGCCTTAGCCTCCCAAGTAGCTGGGATTACAGGTGTGTGCCACCATGCCCAGCTAATTTTTGTATTTTTAGTAGAGGCAGACTTTGCCATGTTGGTCAGTCTGGTCTCCAACGCCTGATCTCAGATGATCCGCCCACCTTGGCCTCCCAAAGTTCTGTGATTACAGGCATGAGCCACTGCCTCCCCAAACAATGTACAAGTCATGTCCCTGCTCTAGAACCTTGGTAGCTACCCATTGCTATGAGGTAAAGCCAGACTTTTTGGACAGGTATTTAAACCATCTGGGCTCCAGCTGGCCTAAGGCCCTGGAAAGAGCTTCTGGAGAAGGGTCTCAGGATTTGCAGGGCTTGAGGGAGGGGTCCTACCTGGAGTCTGCTGAAAGGAGACTCAAGTCCTGGTTTCCCACTCCAGGAAACCCCAGTCCAAGACTAGGAATCCTTCTTTCTCTCTCTCTCTCTCTCTCTCTCTCTCCTTTGTTTTCTTTTCTTTTTTTTTTTTTTGAGACAGAGTCTCCTTCTGTTGCCCAGGCTAGAGTGCAGTGGTGCGATCTCGGCTCACTGCAACCTCCACCTCCTGGGTTCAAGTGATTCTCCTGCCTCAGCCTCCCGAGTAGCTGGGATTACATACACCTGCCACCACAGCTGGTTAATTTTTGTATTTAAAATTTTCAAGACGAAGTTGTGTCTTGTCCAGGCTAGAGTGCAATGGCGTGATCTCGGCTCACTGCAACCTCCGCCTCCTGGGTGATTCTCCTCTCGAGAGATTCTCCTGCCTCAGTCTCCCAAGTAGCTGGGATTACAGGCATGCGCCACCACGCATGGCTAATTTTATATTTTTAGTAGAGACGGGTTTTCTCCACGTTGGTCAGGATGGTCTCAAACTCCGACCTCAGGTGATCCATCCACCTTGGCC